CTAGGTGCACTTCCCTGTCGCAGTTTCCTAAGTCCACAGTTTCCGAATCGGTCACCTATTATGTTCAGTTTGTCATAGCAGGCTTTCGGGGCATCTGCTACTTTGCGTCCAAACAGAGCTTGACACTGCAAATCCCGGTCACTGCAATTTCCTCTCATACAAACAGCTAGTGGTGAACATGGGGTTCCATCTTGAATGTAAAAGTCTTCGGGGCATCTTTCCCCTTTCCCATCACAGTATTCTGGCAGATCACAAATACCAAGCGGGTCTCTGCATACAGTTCCGGGAGGAGCGAGTTTACACTGAATGCAGCAAGGGTCTCCATCACACAAACTGCCAAGAGTGAAAAGACAGTTGGTTCCACAACACTTATTCGTGGAACATTCTTTGAGAGACCCACAGTCACATTCCTCTTGGTTATTTCTTATCCTGTCTCCACAGCGAGGAGCTACATAAGGAAAATTATTGTATGGAGGATAAATGTCACTCAAGCAAGGATCCCAACTATGAATCTTATCGTGTAGTACTGCAAAAGAACAATTGCTGGGTACATCGTAAAGACCAGGCACAGAATTCATAAGACAATGAGTTCTTCGAAAACAGACACAACCGTGGCTGTCATGTGGCATTGCTAGGTTGTGACCTAGTGTATGTGCTAATAATGTTGAACAGAGAAATATGTGATACTTTGACACAAACACATATAATGCTCCCCAATTGGGGTTGCACATACCGTTATAGTGAGCATAATAAATGTTGTCTCCTATTTTATGCCCTGTAAGAAGCACTGAAGTAGAATGAGGAATCTGCCAATACCATTCATGCAGTTTCCATAAACCAAAAAACTCTACCACTAGTGAAGCACTCGGAAAGGCTACATCAATTGGATCTGACCCTTCCCATATGCACAAAACTCGTATGAACATATTTAAGCCCATTGGTCTATAAATGCTGTGTGTTATGCTGTTTATAATAAATACATTCTCTATAATACGAGATTGATTTCTTTGCTGAGTCCAGAGTGAGTTAGATACTGTGTAGTGAAGATGCGCCTGTTTTATATGTACCCGCCACAAATAGGGAGGGACTGCTCTTGGACTTTCAGCAAGATTTCCCTCTTTAACCATTTGATTTGCATTATTCTCTGGAATGTTGCACCTTTCATCTTCCTCTGATATATATTGTGATACAAGCCGAGAAACTACATGCTCAAATTTGGAAGAAGCCTCTAGTGGTTTGATTTCATAAGTAAAGTCATCCACCTGCAGCATGCC